TATGCATAAAATGCTCTGAAAAGTTCCACGCTCATATTGTTGATGGTTTTCTTATGTTACTTGATAAAGCTTTTATGTCATATGATCTTCACACGTCTAAAGCTTATTTCAGTTTTATGCTCCAAATTTTGCATGGAAGGACATCCATAAACCTGCTTTTGGAGAAACTATTGCTTCTAATGGTCAAGTTGGTGGAAAGTGAGGAATTCCTTCCAGGCTTAAAATTTCTTTTTAGTTTTCTTTTTTCTTTTTTCGGTGATTGTGGTGCTAACAAGAAAACTATGGAAAATTTTCCATCAAAACTCAACTCAAATAACAGTTTTGGATCAACGTCAGTGAATTCGAAATCATTTGGCTCCCAAAAAAAATGCTGAGAAACTGGTACTTGTACGAAATCCTGAAATATGTGAGGTGCCTTTATTTGGCTTTATTAAATTGAGACTTGTTTTGTGTTGCTGTCTGTGGGTTTTCTCTGGCTTGCTTTACATATACGAAACACACATCCTTGGAAAATTGTTGCTTGGAAAATACATCCTTGGAAAATTGTTGTATTTGTCCAACCTCTGTTCTCTATTGTCCTGTATTCAAAAAACTTTTGGCACTTTAGGATGGCTTAAATAATTTACAGCAACCATTGTGCCATTTATTTTTTTGATGATGGAATTGGGGGATTCCATTTGGGACCTTGTTGAAAGTTGTTGAAATCATTGCCTAGTCGATTGAATGCTGCAGTAATGTTCAAATAAATTTTTTTAGCTACACAGTATGTTTCCCCCTCTCTTTTCTCCCACTGTTAAGCTTAATTATGAATGAAGCTGAATTTTTTGTAAAATGCTGAATTTGCGATTTGTTTTATGGAATCATAAGTATCATAGAGGCAGGTGATGCTTATATTAGAGTTTATATTAGCAGCTTTGAGCATATTTTATAATTAATGTGGATATGTTGTTTTATGCTGGTTAATAGCTTCACCTCTTATATGGTGGATAACGGTGGAGCAGTTTGGACGGCCACGTAAATTTGTTGTCAGCAATCGCTGACTCTACACTTGGGTAACTTTACTTTTATATTTCCTCATTTTTTGGACTGATCTATTCTATTTTTAATAACTGCAGAACAATGAGTTCCAGACATTCAGGGAAGTCCGAGAAAGTGATGTGTCGTTGCGGACTACCGTTCTTGCTATTCACGTCACGCCAGACACATAGCTTCGAGAGGCAATTTTACAGGAGCCCGCGGTGGGCCCAAGGACCTGAAGACTGTAAACTCTTCAGGTGGACCGACAATGCAACTATTTCTACGATATCCCAATTGGACACACCTGCTAGGAGTTCGACAGTACCACAACAGGAGACCACCGCATATGGTTCGAGTTCTTCTGTGTATACCGCACCCCATCAGGACATGTTTGCTCGGGGTTTTGAGATATCAGAAACGAGAAACATTAGTCATGACGTGACTTTACATGTTAAACTCAATATTGTCATATTTTTCCTTGTAATTTTAACATGTTATTTTTTCTTTTTTTTGGGTCTTATTATAATCCATATTAGAGTTTCATAAATGTGTTATGAACTTTCATATATATCACTATGCTTTTTTGATGTAATCATAACTTTTTTGAGTTATATAAATATTATTAAACTTTTTTGCATTTTCATTTCTTGACATTTGAGAAAATAACATTCCGCAACACAGATTATTCATTCAACTAAAAAAAATTACAAATAAGCTGTTTACAAAACGCACTAACCAAACAGCTAAACAACTTATTCAAAACAAGGGCAGAATGGTCAATTTTACAGAATCAGCTGTTTTCCAGACGCACTAACCAAACAGCCAGACAGCTTATCTGGATCAGCAAGTCATCAGCAGATTATCAGGATAAGCTGTTTATCAGCAGAAGCTGGATAAGCTGCAGCTACCCCAAACAGACTCTTAATCATGTGTAATTACTAGCATCTATAAACATGTACTCTAATAAATCTCCCATTGATTATTTTCTAATCATATACCCAAGCATGTGTATTTTCTAGCATGTATAAATATTTACTTTTTGTGAGATAAGAAAATAGAATAAAATTCAAATTCTTCTATTCAATTTTAGTTTCTCTTAGTTACTTCTCATAATATAGGACTTTCAAAGAGCTTTTAACTATACATAAATTAATTGTGGAGTCAAAATATTAATGATGTCAGAACTAATAAAAATATATATAATTTAAGGGTGCTATTATTTTTAGCATTAAAATTAAGGTTAATTTATGTTCCAATGACGACGCAATTCAAACTCGTCTTTGATGCCAAATATGTAAATGCTCCAAAATATTAACAAAAAAAAAATAGCACTTACATGCATGCCAAATAATTCTTATGTGTTCACATATCTAAGGGTCCGTTTGGCGCCATTTTTTTTGTGCGGCACGGCCCAATACAGCGAATGTTTACTGTTTGTCTCCTAACTTCGAGGCCAGACGACGCGAAAGCGGGCTAAAAGCCGGCCGCGGGATCGACTCCGCTGCCCCAGCTTTCGCGTCGCTATTTTTCCAAATTGCCCCCCGCGCGATCGTTTCCTCTCGCCATCTTCCCCGCGATCGTTTCCTCGCAGCAGCTTCTTGGGACAGCGCAGCAGCAGCTGAAAAGCTGAGAAGCTGCAGCTATATAAATATCAATCTTTAGGGGTTAGATGTGTAAATTCAAAAAAAAAGATTATGTGGCGTGTATGTAAATTTCCTAAAGCAACTGTTGTTTTCATTTGAATAAAATAGAAGAGCATTTTGCTCCGTAATGTCATGACCGCAAAACCTGCATGCTCTGCAGAAACTGCCGCAACATAGTACATTAAACTGATTTAAAAACAATGTCCATTCCTAACACTAAAACTTTATTTTTACATTTATACCACCCAAATCTTTCATATTAAATAAAAAACACCACATTTAAAAGCACACATTTTCATTTATAAATAAGTTGGTATGCATGTAAAAATTCAAATTTTTATGTTAGATTTTATAAAATGCAATACTGCCCGCAATCTAATCGGCATTTTAAAGTATTACAGCAGAATCAAATCAAGCACACATATTAAAGCTAAGGAACACACTCGCTCATATTAAAATCAAGACTACAACACACTACACAACGTTCCTCTGTCTTCCTCCCTCTAGAATAACTTTCACACATCATAAAAACAACTAATTAAACCTACGAAAAGAGAATGTTAAAGATTGTTAGGATTACAGCAGGGGTTAAATTATAGCAGAAAGCAATCTTTCATTTCCATAAGAAGCTTGAAAAGGTTTGCGGGTTGCTGTTATTGCTGTGGTTGAGCGGACTAGCCGGCCCGCCGGACGATTCGCTTGGAGTTCCTCGAGAAGGCGGACTGCTACCGCCGGTCATCACACCACCGCTGCTGCCGGGAATGCCGCCAACAGGTGCGAGCTTTTCCAAGGCCGGCGCACCTTCTAGGAGATTTACGTGTTTTCGCTCTTTCTTCCCGTCGGCGATGAAGCTCGCCACAACAACCTGAAATGATGAGTAATGGTGAATTTTTGTTTATTGAAGAAAACCTTAAAACTGGCTGAAGGGGGAATGAGTATGGACCTGGACGGGAGATGCGGCGGTTAGAAGTCCGGCAACTCCGCCACCAAGGACTCGACCATCGGGACCGGCCAGAGAAACACTCAGGCCGCCGGTTCGACTGCGTTGACCGCCGCTCTCCGACAGCAGAAATGAGCCGGACAGCGACAATATTTCAAACCGGCCCTAAATGAAAGGGGCGAAGAGATGAAAATAAAGTTTGCAATATAAGCTTTCATATGCATGCCCACTCAATTACATGCATAGCACCAAATTACTATGTATTTACATATCTACAGCTAAAATTTACTTATTCAATTTATACCACCCAAATCTTTCCTAACAAATAAAAAATTTCAGGGTTTAAAACTTTTAAAATGTAAATTACACTTTTTTTATACATAGGTAAGATGGAACATATGTAAAAGATGTACTTTAGGTGTTAGATATGTAAATACATAATAATTGAGTAAGTATGTAAATCTTCCCTCATTTATCTAATATATCACATATCATTCTGCCAATCTGCAGCGTTTGCAGCTAACACATGCTGGCATTGGCATTTCATTTATAAAAGTAAAATTACTGTAAGAAAAATTAAGAAAAATGGTTCTGTTACCATCAATGGAGAGGAAATTGAATGCAATGTGCCAATTAGCTTTTTTGAATAAAAATTGATGGAATAAGGAAGCTAACAAATTTAAATTTTTTTTTCTTTTTACCTCATAAGTTACTGTTCCGCCGGAAGTTGCAGCTTGTCGAAGAGTTACATTAGAGATAGCCCCATTCGCCGAAAGAATGCAAATAGCACGAGGTCCATGCTGAGAAAATGACATGATCTTTGCGGAAACATCCTGAGAACAAAATACGATGTTACAATTTCAGAACTTGTTATGGACTCAAATGTTACAAAAGTATATTTCTGATCTACTAAGTGAATCTAAAAGTTCATGAAATTAAGATTCACCAAAAGAAATAGTTCAAGTTTATGGTTTGAACAATATGATAAGTGAAACGCTCTGAAGAAATGTAGAATGGCTTCAATTTGGACTCACATCATGATAAAACAACAATCAGCTTCCTAAAAATTTGGTAATATTACAAAAAAATACATTAGTTTTCTAGGTCATTTTAAAAGCTTCATTTGAGAAGGCAGTGAAGCTTCATTCCGTCATACACATACAAACATGACGTCTTCCGAAATTGTTTCGCAAGAATAATAATTTTTTGCCATTTTAGATCACAGTCGGCCTTCTCCATTCAACGGACGTGGCGTTTAAAGGAGTTTTGTTGAACTTCGAAGCTCCTTCAAATGAAGTTTAAATCCTAAGACATTAATTTTGCAAATAAAAGAAAATAGTAACCGGACATATAAATCTCCCAACATTTATATGTAGTCAGACTAAGATACATGCTGCACCAAAACCTTTACATGAAGACATTGGAGAAATAACAAAATGTGTGCATGACCATATATATATATATATATATATATATA